CCCCAAAACCCCAAAACCCCAAAACCCCAAAACCCCAAATAATTCGACAAAACCTGAGTTCAATAATAATTAAGATTTTCCAAAATGGAGGAAGAAATGTATGATGAATTTGGAAACCTTATTAAAAAGGAAGATCAAGAAGGAGACCAAATCATGGGCAAGGAATGGGTAGACCAGATGAATCAGCTTAACATAGAGGGTTCCTTAGGTATGAAACTTGAGTTCTCTAACAATATTTTAGATCGATCTGATAATGAAGCTGAAGGTGATAACGAAGAGCCCAAAGTTGAAGAAGAACAGCTTCATGAATCTCTTGTTCAATACCAAGGTAAGCAACTTACAAGTAGCAAAGGGAGAACAAACAATTACAGCAATGGCAATAATTTGTGTATAGATGTAAATGATGATCCGAATGAAAATGCGATAGTTTTGCATGAAGATAAGCAATATTATCCAGAAGCAGAAGAAGTATATGGAAACGCAGAAACATTGGTACAAGAAGAGGATGCGATCCCAATCACAACACCTATTATTGCCCCAGTCAGGAAATATGATTTTGATGCACAAGAAAAAGAGATTCCAAAAACAACATTCAACTTTGAGTTTTTAGGAAATCTTTCAAGCAAGCCAGATAGAATCAGGAATCTTGCTGTTTGTGGGCATTTACATCACGGAAAAACTCTATTCATGGATATGTTTGTTCAAGAAACTCACACCAAATCTTGGGATCCAGCTGTAGAACATAAGTACACTGATACTAGAAAAGATGAGAAAGAGAGAATGCTCTCAATCAAGAGCATGCCAATGTCGTTCATTATTCAAGACTCTAGAGATAAATCTTATCTTGTCAACCTTGTTGACACTCCCGGTCATCCTAATTTTGTAGATGAAGTTGCTACATCTCTAAGAATTGCAGACGGTGTCCTTCTAGTAGTTGATGTAATTGAAGGTGTCACTCTTCACTGCCAAAATATTATCAAGCATGCTCTTGAAGAAGAATTGCCAATCATTTTGGTGATCAATAAGTTAGACAGACTTGTGCTAGAGCTAAAATTACCACCATCAGATGCTTATTTGAAAATAAAGAGAACGATTGAGAAAGTTAATTATGCTATCAAAACATATGATTTTAAGCAGTGAATGTCTGGACAACTCTCTCCAGTCCTTGGAAATGTTATATTCGCATCTTCTCTCTACTCATGTGCCTTTACACTGAAATCATTTGCTGCTCTTCATCTGAATCTGACATCAGAAGGGAGATCAAAGGTTGATCCTGAGCAGTTCAGTAAGTTCCTCTGGGGAGATATCTGGTTTAATGAAGAGACTAGAAAATTTGCCAAAAAGCCAGCAGACAGAGACTCAGAGAGATCCTTTGTCAGCTTCCTTCTTGAACCATTCTACAAGCTAGTAGGCTACACAGTAGCTGAAGAGAAAGATAAGCTGCAGCCCTTATTAAATCAGCTCAAAATTTATCTTAAAAAGAAGGAATTTAACATGGATGTAAAGCCTCTTCTAAAAAGAGTGTTATCCAAAAGGTTTGGAAAACTTAGTTGTATTATGGACTCAATTGCTTATTATATCCCAAGTGCTAAGGAGAACACACCAAATAAGATCAGGAGGCACTATTTAGGAGATTCCACCTCTGAATTATCTCAAAAATACTCACTTTGTTCATCAAAGCAGCCTTTGCTAATAAATATAGTGAAGCTATACCACAAGCCGGATAGGTCTTCCTTTGATGCATTTGGAAGAATTTTCTCTGGAAGTATCAAAGCTGGGGACACAGTAAAAGTCATCCTTGATGACTTTGATCCTGATAGAGAAGATAGCAGGACATATGTACATGAAGTCAAGACTGTAAATATTTACCAATCCAGATACAAAATTAGCACAAATCTTGCCTGTGCAGGTTCTTGGGTATTGATTGAAGGTGTTAGTGATGCGATCAAGAGGACAGCTACCTTAGTCGATGCAAAAGAAGGCTCATCAGAGACTTCTTTACCTATGCAGCCTATTCAATTCAGAACTGAAGCTGTTGTAAAAATTGCCTGTGAATCGTGTATCCCTTCAGAGCATCCTAAAATGCAAGAAGCCCTTTCTAAAATCAGCAAGAGTTACCCCTTAGCTGAAATAAAAACTGAAGATTCTGGAGAGCACTTAATCCTTGGAACTGGCGAACTTTACCTTGATTGTGCTCTTCACGATCTTAGGAATATTTACAGTGAAATTGAAGTAAAAGTAAGTGATCCTAGCGTGAGATTTTGAGAAACTGTTGTGAGCACAAGTTCTATAATTTCAACCTGTGAAAGCTCAAATAAGCTCAACAGCATTCAAATGATAGCTGAAACTCTCGATGATGGCCTCGCTGAGGATATTGAAACTAAGAAATTAGACATTACTTGGCCTGAAGCTGATAAAAGAAATTTCTTGGTAAAGGAGTATGAGTGGGATGAACTCACAGCCAGCTCTCTGTGGGCCTTTGGACCTGAAGTTAATGGACCAAATATATTGGTAGATTATACTCTTGAAGATGAAGTTGATAAATCATTGCTAAATTCCACAAGAAATAGTATCGTTAATGGATTTAAATGGGCTACAAGCGGAGGACCACTCTGAGAAGAGCCTGTAAGAGGATGTAAATTCAAAATTTTAAATGCTCAATTTGCAAGTGAACCAGTCCAAAGAGGAGGCGGGAGCATTATTCCTATCGCAAGAAATGTGGTACATAGTTCTTTCCTTACTGCAACCCCAAGACTCTTAGAACCACTTTACATCGCAGAAGTCACTTGTCCAGAAGATTGTATTGAGCATATTTATAATATTCTTCTCAGAAGAAGAGCACATGTTGTCCACCAAGAACCTCTAGAAGGGTCGCCTCTGCATTACTTACATATCGAGATTCCAGCAATTGAGATCTTTGGATTTGAAACTGATTTAAGAACACATACCGTTGGCCAAGCTATGGTCTTAAGCCACTTCAACAAATGGGCTCTTGCCCCAGGAGATCCTCTTGACAGATCAATTCAAATTAAGGTGCTTGAACCAAGCGAAGTCAGCTCTCTCGCTAGAGAATTCATGATCAAGACCAGAAGAAGGAAAGGAATGGTTGATGATGTCAACGTACCAAAATTCTTCGAGCACGAAGAAACAAATGCAATGGCAAGACAAGACAGAGATCTGCAGGATTACTTTATCAACTAAATCTCAATATCCATAATCACCCATGGGGTTTTGGGGTTTTGGGGTTTTGGGGTTTTGGGG